GAGGTGTACATCACTTGGCAAGGTATGTTCAGTGATTATCGATGGTGGAAGTTGCACTAATGTTGTTTCGGAAGAGATGCTGACTAATTTTGGTTTGGAGACAGAGGTACACCCCAAACCTTACAAAGTGCCGGGCTGCAATATGGTGGACGTATGAAAGTCACTAAAAGATGCTTGGTCTCTTTTTCTATTGGTACTTTAAAGACCAAATTTGGTGTGATGTGCTTGCCATTTACTACTTGGAAGACCTATTTAGCATGCTTTTCATGATGGATACCGTACCTATTCATTCATAATTGATGGGCGTAAGGTCGTTTTAACGCCATTGCACCCTAAAGAACTCTCAAAGAAGGCAAAGACCGTGTCTGATACGCTATTGGGCACATCAATAAAGGAGAGCCGTTGTACATAGCAGTAGCCATGGAAGACTCACAAGATAAGAAGCATGAGTTAGATACACGAGCCAAGAGGTTACCTGCTAAGTTTGATGATGTGATCTCTGAAGATGTTCCATTAGAACTTCCACCCATGCGCGATATTGTACATCAAATTGACCTTATACCAGGAACATCGTGGCCAAGCAAAGCCGCTTATAGGATGAATCCTACACTACAAGCTGAATTCCAAAGGCAAGTCGAAGAATTATTCGAGAGGGGTTTAATAAGGGAGAGCCTTAGTACCTGTGCCATACCTGCTTTGCTTGTTCCTAAGAAAGATGGCACTTGGCATATGTGTTATCAGTCGAGCAATCAACAAGCCCACTATCAAATATCGCTTCCGATGATCTATTTGACCAATTACATGGTTCTAAGGTCTTGATTTGAAGAGTGGGTACCACCAGATTCGTATGAGAGAACGTGATGAACTGCCTTCAAGACTAGCCAAGGCTTGTATGAATGATTGGTAATGCCTTTTAGTTTGTCAAATGCTCCGAGCATATTCATGAGGCTTATGACTCATGTCTTTAGACCATTCCTTGGGAAGTTTGTTGTTGTCTGCTTTGACAATATACTAATCTATGCAAAGAGGAAGCTTAACATGGAATGCA